CACCACCCCAGACCACGGGCGGCCGCGGCTGCGCTGACACTGTTGCTCCTGCCTTTGGCCGCTTTGCTACTGTTGCTACTGCTCCCTCCCGAATACCTACCTCTTCGCTCTTGGGGGCCGCTGCCTTCCTCCTCGGGGACCGTTAGCAAAGCCAAACAGTGTCTGCTGGGGTCTGGAAACTGAAGAGCCTCGTGTTCTGCAGCCACGAGCTCTACTACCCGATAGGCTGAACCCCAGAGCCCTCAGGGTGGCGCAGGAATGGTGGCCTTACCATTTCTCCAACAATGTTTGCAGAGTCAGAGCACCCGGAGGCAGGGGACAGGGGCCCATCCAGGAGGTGAGCCTCTGAGGAAAACCAAGAAGGAGGGTTCTCCTTAGAGCTGCCATTTGGAGGTTCGTCGGATTCAAGTGAGGCACGCCTGGGCTTCCCAAGGTGAACCTAGGGCATGTTTCCGTGACTGTGGGTCTCACTTGGGCCACTGCTGCCAGGGAGCTGCCCGGTACTCTGGTGGCTTCGTGGAGGCTGTAGGGGGCTCAGGGCAGAGCGCCACACGCCCGGCGGGTCTGGAAGGAGTGGGGCCCTCCAGGCGGCCGCTTAGCGATTCCTGCCCGGAGTTCTCTCACTTCTTCAGGGCGCTGTGTGCGCCTGCTCCTCCCTGGAACCGCGTAAATTACTCCCTCCTCCGCCTGCTTCATTTTATACGACACTATCTCATTAATTTTATATCCGTTAATGTGCACTAGATTTAGGTGGTGTTCAACCTGGTTGAGTTAATTCCTCCTGAATGAACCGATGGGTGGGCGGACGAATGGCTGAGAGGCATGGGTGGGGCACGAACATGGCTACTGTACATTGTAAACACTTGGCTCAGCCAGCGTGGCTCAGGGGCTGAGCATCGACCCATGAACCAGGAGGTCACGGTTCGATTCCCGGTCAGGGCACACGCCCGGTTGCGGGCTCCATCCCCAGTGTGGGGCGTGCAGGAGGCAGCTGATCCATGACTCTCTCATCACTGATGGTTGTATCTCTCTCTCCCTCTCCCTTTCTCTCTGAAATCAAAAAATATATGTGTATTTTTTTAAGAAAGAAGAAAGAAATAAATGGTAAGCACATGAAGGAAAACAGCCCACTGGGTAAGGACACCCCTCAGCGGCCAGGCAGGTTGCGGCTCGAGGCAGCCGGTCCCTGATGCTCCCTCTCGCCATTCCTCTCTGACATCTGTGTTAGACGTGGGCTCTACAGAACAGCACCTTGTGGTCTGTGACGCCCGCCAGGCAGCGCTCTGCTCGGTGGGATGCAGGGTGGGTGCCAGGTATTGTCAGGCCACGTGGGGAAGATATGTCAGGGGAGGGAGCCCTCCTGGTCCCCTGAAGTCGCACCAAATGGCAGGTCCCTCTGCTCCCCGGGACGGAAGGTGCTGGGCCTGCAGCTGGCCCTGGAGAAGGTCCCCGGAGACAGCGCCCGGCTTTCCTCACGACCGAGGCGGGCACCACGATAACCTCTGTACTGGGGGCTCCTACAGGAAGTTGCGTTCGCTCGGTATTTAATATAGGTCAGAGGTCAAATGCACATTCACTGGCATCTTCCCCAAAATGGCTCTTCTTCCCACGGTGAGACTTCACCAAGAGATGAAGTGGGAACAGATGGGCTGGCAGGGGAGCGTTTCGGCTTCCTGCACTGGCCCGTGAGTTTTAAGTGATCGACGTTAGCCCTGGCCCGTGTGGCTCAGCAGCCGAGCGGCGGGTCCCGGGGTTAATTGTGGGTCAAGGGCATGAACCTGGGTTGCAGGTTCGTTCCCGGCCTGGTCAGGGCACGTGTGGGAGGCAACCAATCGATGTGTGTCTCTCACATCAATGTTTCCCTCCCTCCTTCCTCCCTTCCACTTTCTAAAAATCAAGGGAAGAAATATCCTCGGGTGGGGATTAACCAAAAAGAAAATGTTTATTTTCCCCATCACCATTTATCTCCTCTCTGCCCTCTTCCACCTCCGCCCCTCCCCCAATCACAATGATTTTTTAAAATCCTCACCCGAGGATATGTTTTTTTAATTGATTTTGAGAGAGAGAGAGAGAGAGGGAGAGAGAGAAGCATCCACGTGAGAGAGAAACATCAATCGGTTGCCCTCTGTACACACCCCAACTGACCAGGGAAGTGAATCTGAAACCTAGGTGTGTGCCCTGACTGGGAATCGAACCCGCAACCTTCTGGTGAACAGGACGAGGCTCTAACCGAGTGAGCCTCCCCGCCGGGGCTTGGTCTGGTTTCTAACAACGGACCATGTCTTCACAGTGAGATACCACACCGTCTTTTACACGGGAATCCCCTACGCACCCCCGTACACACAGCCCTTCTCCCCGCCCTTTCCCGACGGGACTGGCGTTGGCCCGAATAGCCCTCAGGCCCCTCTCCAGCAGCTCTGTGCGTACATCCGCGTTCTTGATTGAAGAAACATGAACTCGAATTGTACATGAGTACAATCGTACATGAGTGTTACATTTTATATTTTCTTCATTCTATTTAATGTGTATATTTCAGACATGTAAGACCTAATCTCCATCTCGTCTGTCCAACGCAACAATGCAATGCGACGGCGACTTCTCAAATGCCCCCAAAGCCCAAAGCCCACCTCAGCCCGACTCTCCCTCCCCCCAGTCGCCAATGGCCTCCGGCCGGGGTGCGGCCCTGCCTCGGGGGAGCCCTCCTCCTGCTGCTCCCCCTGCGGGTCCCTGCAGCCCCTGAAGGTGGCCAGGCCCATCTCTCAGACCTCAGCGCCACGCCTGCGCCAGGTCCCTGTCCCTGGTCGCCCTGCGGTGGCCTTTGCCAGGGTTACACACAGCCCCAGGCCAGGCTGCCCTCGAGGTCGGCAGAACCGGCGAAGGCAGCCCCGGTGACTTCCAGGGTCGGGTGTCCATGTTTCGCCACAGACCAGCTCACAAGACCAAACCCAGCCTCCTGGGTCACTCGCGGGCTGTTTGTTTCTAAGCGATCACACAGACCTCCGGCCTAAGAAACCACTTCTGGCCCTGGCCGGTTTAGCTCCGTGGACAGAGCGCCGGCCTGTGAACTGAAGGGTCCCGGGTTTGATTCCTGGTCAGGGCACAGGCTGGGGGTTGCGGGCTCGAGGCAGCCGATCTATGATTCTCCCTCTCGCCATTCCTCTCTGACATCAATAAAAAGATATTAGCCCGGCTGGTGTGGCTCAGTGGTTGAGCATTGACCTATGAACCCGTTGGTCATGGTTCAATTCCTGGTCAGGGCACGTGCCCGGGTTGTAAGCTCAAATCCCAGTAGGGGGCATGCAGGAGGCAGCCGGTCCCTGATTCTCTCTCATCATTGATGTTTCTCTCTCCCTCTCCCCTCCTCTCTGAAATCAAAAGTATATTTAAATAAATAAGTAAAATTTAAAAATAAGATATGAAATAAGAGAAGAAAGAAAGAAACAACTTCTGTCTTCTCTCACGTTAGGCCAGGAGCCCCCGTGTGTCATTCAGCTTCTGAGCTCAGCTCTGCTGTCAGCCAGACCCAGAGCCTTTGGTGGCTGGAAGGCGGGGGCGCGCCTCCCTCCTGGAGATGCTATCAGCCTGGGAAGGAGAGCAGGCCCCTCCCTGGTCAGACCCGCCCGAGCAGGGCAGAGACAATGCTTCCCTCGCCAGCAGCACTGTCCGGGCGGCGAATGCGTGACTGTCCTCAGCAGCATCCCCAACAAGTTCTGCGGGACGCGGTGGAGAGGAACGCGGAGACGCAGCGTGCGCGCCCCAAAACGAGGCTGGGCCTGGCTGCAGAAAGTCCCCGAGGCCGCACATTCACTCTCTTTCTTCAGGGAAAGGGCACGGGCTGACTTTGCCAGAAGCTAGAAAATCATTTAGTTTTTTTTAAATGCCTATTGGTCTGTCGGGGTCGGTGATAGTAACAACATTTACTTCCCAGGGTCCGTCTAAGTCAGTGGTTCTCAACCTTGGCTGCATCACCTGGGAATCACCTCCGGAATGAGGCCCAGAAATCAGGATTTTAAAAAGATCCCCAGGTGATTCTAATGTGCAGCCAAGGTTGAGAACCACTGGTCTAAGTCATCTCAAATGCAGTTTGTACAATCCTTGTCCCCACTCCACCCCCAAAAAACACACATACTCACTCCATGGATCCATATTTTTTTTTAAAAAAAATACATTTTTATTGATTTCAGAGAGGAAGGGAGAGGAAAAGAGAGATGGAAACATCAATGATGAGAGAATCATGGATCGGCTGCCTCCTGCACGCCCCTCACACTGGGGATGGAGCCCACAACCCGGGCCTGTGCCCTGAACGGGAATGAAACCGTGACCTCCTGGTTCATAGGTCGACGCTCAACCCCTGAGCCAGGCCGGCCAGTTCAATTCCCAGAACTCTGTCCCGTTTTCCCTTTGCAGGCTCCCGAGGGTCTCTGACCGGCACCTGCTCCTCTTTCTTAAGAGAATAGCGTGCCCTGAGCTCAGCGCACGGAGCCTGGGTTGTGGGCGCGGCAATGGAAACGGACAAAGGGAGCGCTTTCTGGGGGGGAAGCTGGGAGAGGACCAAGGCCTCTGGGCCCCGCGCCTTCTCTCCGGCCCCGGCTTCGAGTCAGCTCAGGCCCATGGCCCTCGAAGGGTTTCCGCAGGAATTCTGTCCCATGAGAAATAACAAATACACGAGCAGCTCTCCAAGGAGCCCGAGAAAAGCCCTCCGCAACGGCGTGCAGCTCTGATGAGCCAGGGAGTCTATTTTTTCCCTCTTACTCAGAGCGGCGATTCGTCACAGCTGAGCTCTGCAAAGCATTTCGCAAGCATTTCGCGATCGCTGCCCGCTGCCAGCGCCGGGGAACCCGACACCCGCCGGCGGGCATCCTGACATCCCTCCCGGGCAGGTCCTGCGAAGACGTGTGGGGCCGCTGAGGTGATGGTCATCTGAGCGCTTCCAATGGCCCTCCCCGGGCAGGAGGGGCTGGAGGGGCAGGGGCGCGGCAGCGACTCCCTCAGAGGAAGGACAAAGGCCGTCTGTGCGAGCCTGCGAGATGGGGCCGGTGATCCAGGCCAGCGGCCAGCCCCATGAGAGCCCCATTCACGCGGTGGAACTGGGGCGCGATGGGTATCCTGGGGCCCTTCTGGGAGCTCGGCTCCCTGGGGCCCGGGGAGAACCGGCCGGTGACCGCCATCCTCGCCCCGCTCAGCCTGGCGCCGGGAGGCCCTGCTCTGCTCTCTGCTCAGACCTGCTTCCTGCCCCGGGGTCTCCCAGGCCCCCCGGGCCGCCAGCAGACCACCCCAGACTCAAGGGCAACCCCACGGGTGTGGCCCTCCGCCTCCCCAGCCGCTCCCCACACGCCATCCATTTGCTACAATTTCTTTCTTTCTTTTTTTAATATATATTTTTACTGATTTCAGAGAGGAAGGGAGAGGGAGAGAGACAACCATCAATGATGAGAGAGGATCATGGACTGGCTGCCTCCTGCAGGCCCCACACTGGGAATCCATCCCGCAACCCTGGCCTGTGCCCTGACCGGGGATTGAACCGTGACCTCCTGGTTCCTAGGTCGACGCTCAACCCCTGAGCCACGCTGACCGGGCCGTTTGCTGTACTTCCCAGGAGCTAATGTCTCCATGCCATAGATCAGTGCCCGGGGCCAGGATGATGTCACACCCCAAGGCCTGCTGTCCACAGCCGGTGAGGAACCGGGGTGTCCGGAACCCGCCTTGTGAGTGAGTGGTCTTGGGGGGCTCCTCCAGCCCCAGCCTCGCTCTTGGAGGACAGCACTGGCCACAGCTGGACAGCAACCTGGGGAGAGACTGAGTCAGAACCCGTCTCCCCTGAGCCCCTTCCCGCTCCCGGCCCGCAGGGGTGGCTTAAAAACCTCTGTTTGCTGTTTTAAGCTGCTGCATCGGAAGGGATTTGATACACATCAGTAGGGAACTAATACAGGCGGCTCTAGGAGCCTTTTGGCCGGGAACCACTAGGGTTTTCCCATTTCCAATCATGTCCCAACAAATTAAAACCCCAAAGAGGCCTCAGGGACTCCCAATTCTCCCGCGAGGGGAAGGCTGGGGGCGGGGCTTACACGGCGGCATTCCCACACTCCCCAGCAAAGTGCCCTGCGTGGGCCAGCGGCCGGGCCTCTCCTCCCTCACTCCTTTGCCGCCCACATCCACTCATCGAACAGGTACCAATTAGGCGCCCCCTCCCTCCGTGGCTGGGGACCGCGTGGAGAAGACAGACCTGTTCGCCCAGCTTCCACTGTGATGGACGGCGGCGATGAGACAAGCCAGCGCCCATCACTGCAGACACCTGGCGGGTCCGGAGACAGGAAGCCGGGCAGCGGGGAGGCCGGTTGGACTGGGGGTGAGGCTCTGGGTAGAGAGGAAGCAACAGGCCTGCCCGCCTCCCTGTGGCGCCGGACCCAGAGCACACAGGGAGGGCCCAGGCCTGTGCCTCGGTCCTTACAAAGTGTAAGCAAGCGAACAGACCACTAACGAACATGTCCTGTTCTCCCAGGTGGCAGACACCCCCCCAGAATCTGCAGGCCTCCCAGAGCCCTACCCTGGGGCATGGTGGCACAGAGCCGGCCACCGATACGGTGTCCCGTGTGCGCGTGCGTGTGCGTGTGAGTATGTGTGAGTGTGAGTGAGTGTGTGTGTGTGAGTGTGAGAGTATGTGTGTGTGTGTGTGAGTGTGAGTGTGTGTGTGTGTGAGTGTGTGAGTGTGTGAGTGTGAGTGTGAGTATGTGTGTGAGTGTGTGTGTGAGTGTGTGTGTGTGTGAGTGTGTGTGTGAGTGTGTGAGTGTGTTGGGGGCTGAGAGTGGCCTCCAGGTGTCCTTTGCCCCCCTGATGAGTGTGCAGGACCCAAAGCCTCGTACGGAGCGTCGGCGCTGAGACCGGAGGCTAAAGCCCAGGGCAGGGCAGGTCGGCATCTCGTCAAACAAATCCTTCAGCAGCTTCCGGAACCAGCGTTGGCGGGTTTTTTGTTTTTCTGTGTGTTTTTTTCTTTTCTAATTGATATTTATTTATGTATTTATTTAATCCTCACCCAAGGATATGTTTCCATTGATTTTTAGAGAGAGTGGGAGGGAGAGGGAGACACACACAGAGAGAAACGTCGATTGGTTGCCTCCTGCACCCGCCCCAACCAGGGCCGGAGATGGAGCCTGCAACCGAGGTACGTACCCTTGACCGGAATCAAACCCGGGACCCTTCAGTTTGCAGGCCGACGCTCTATCCACTGAGCCACACGGGTTAGGGCTTGTTTTGCTTTCTTTTCTTGGAAAGAGTATAAGATCTGAGTGGTCCTTTTTTTCCTGGGTATTAAAGAACAAGGCAGGACATGATGCAACCGGTGCCCTTCGGGACCTCATTGTCATGGCAACGGGGGTGGACAGGCATCGACTTCGGGCACCCAGGGCCTCTAGGTCCACAGGAGGATGCGCCTTTGTGGAACCAGGTAGTGAAAGGAAAAGGCAGATAAATGCTGTCCCCTCCTGCTCCCGGCTGGGGCCACACAAAGGGGCCATTAAACTAATTGGCCAGGCAGCCTGCGGGAGGGGACCGGGCCCAGCTGGGTCAGGTTTCTCCCCTCCTCGCCCAGCCGGGATCTCAGATTCCTCCCTCCCTGCCACCCAAGCTGGGTCACAGGGCCCCACGGGAGGGGCCAGGCCCTGGCCAGGGACCTGGGAGAGACCCCACGCCTGGCCACGGCCACTGGAGCTCAGGCAAGTCAGCGCCTTCGCTCAGCCTCCCCTTCTGTGATGTGAGGCCGTCGCCTAGAAACACTTCGTCGATAGTTTTATTTTAAAAAAGGACAAACACAAAGCCACTCCAGGTAAACTGTGTATCTACCACGTCGGCCACTTTATTATTTTTTTAATAAATTTATTTGTATTGATTTCCGAGAGGAAGGGAGATGGAGAGGGAGATAGAAACATCAATGATGAGAGAGAATCATGGACCGGCTGCCTCCTGCACGCCCCCTACTGGGGATGGAGCCTGCGACCCGGGCCTGTGCCCTGACCGGGACTCGAACCCTGACCTCCTGGTTCATAGGTTGACGCTGAACCACTGAGCCACAGGGGCCGGGCTCAGCCACTTAATTATCTCACACGATCCTCGAGACTCCAGCAGGAGTTCCCCATTTCATCGATTGTCCCCCCACTTTATGGACGAGGAAAGAAGGTTCAGGAAAGGTAACTTGCCCGGCCGAGGTCACCGAGGGTAGCAGCTCGTAGCGGCCTTCACACTGAGCTCTGGCTGGGTCCAAAGTCCTCGTCTTTACACCTCGCTACGCCTGCTTGTTGGATGGCACTGAGGGACCCTCCTCAGGGTGGACTGCAGGCGCCTAAAGCTCTCTGCACGGACCCCCGCGCCCTCCCCTGCGGCCTCCCCAGCACCTACCTGCACCAGAGTGCCCATGAGTCACCCTCGTGAGTCAGCTCAGTGCTGTGTTCGCGGCAATGACCCACGTGCAGCAGCGAAGCCCAGGTCGGCCAGGGGTCGGGGAGACGTGCGCGCTTC